TAGTATGTTTTTGAAACTAGTATGGGAATATGGTCTCCTGTGTTTCTTTGGACATCCAGGACTTCTTTGTTGGGTTTTTGTTGTTGCTGTTGGTGTTCTCCGTTTCCATCCTAGTGGTTTTGTGTCTGGGAATTAACAGTATTCAACCACAGAAAAGGAGTCTTTAGGGGACTTAAGTCATCAAGGCTTCTTTCCTTGGTAGGTGATCTTGCTGAATTGTGCTGTGTAGCTTTTCTCCTGTAGTTCTGTTGGCGTAGGTTCTCTTCTTTCAGTTTCACATGTTCTATTTTCTTTAGGCCTTTTGTGTGTATTTTACATGTAAATTTTATGAGGTTTGGTCATAGGTTTAACATTGTTACTTGCATTGTCAATGTGTGTTGCTAAAGCTATGAAGTGGGGTTAGTACTTCTTAGCAAAATGTAGGAACTTAACAAGATTTAAAGATGCTTTGATACGACAGTGACTAGGACATTGAAAGGGTTATGATAATTCAGACACCTCATGATAAAGCTGTTAAGTTATAAACCTGCCTAAGGACACTTGTGAGATGATCTGAATTACTCTAAGTTCTCTAGAGAAGCACAGTAGGAGGTGCTCATCATTTGTGAAAAGCCATCTGTATGGGAGCTGGCATGGAAGGGCTTGTCTTTGTGCGGCAGTAAGTGTCTTCGGTCTTCACATGTTACTCTCAGCCAGAAACACCCAGGATCATGCTTGACCAAGTAGTTGTATACCACATGGCTCAGTCCAGTTAACAAATGAAACGAATCTCATTCTGCCCCTTGTCAACTCTGCTCCCACTCCCACCTCCGTAACCCAGCTTAATCTCCAGATGAAGACAGCAGGAAGATCCTAACTCCATCTAACTTGAATGATGCAACTATACTGCAGACAAGGAAAATGCTCTGGTTCTTCCGTTGGAGGTAAAGTCTTGAGTGATAATCACCCTTCTCTTCGATGTCCCACAGATTGTGGTGAATTGTAAGGGGGAAGGAAGATACTTGCTTAAGTATGCACATGCATGCACACTCGTAAGGAGGTACTGAGGAAGTGCTGGAACACCCACAGTTGTCCTTCCTCCAGTTCCACTACCTGTCTGTGTGGCTTGTGCCTTCTGCACTCAACCTCAGTACTGCCTGGTGGATTGAAAAAGCGGTCGATAGCACATTTGGTTAAATTACTCCCACTGATTTGCACAGACCGAGCACACATACTCTGCTACATCCCTACCCCCATTTGTCCTCTTTAAACACAAAGAAGAAAACCTGATTCATTCAGAGATTTGGGAAATGGAAGACCGAACATTCACTGGTTTTGGCTGCAGTGGAAGCTTTGCTGTGGCACATTCCTGTCACAGCATCAAGTGTGTGAACATTTCAAGTCTGCATTAAGAATCCATACATCTACTTCTGTGTTTGGGATGAGTTTAAGTTCCATGAAGTAGAGTGTCTGAGTCAGAGGCTTGCTTTCTTCTTCCTCTTCTTCTTTTTTTTTTTAAATAGCCATTTGTGGGGTTGAAAGTTTTAGAAGCTCAGGCACGTGCCCCAAGCCGCTCTTGTAAAGGCAACAGGTGGTTAATAGGATGCCTTTCTGAGCAGTACAGTTTTCAGTATACTTTTTTATTAACTGGCCTCTTTTCTTAGAACAGAAGAAAATATTTTATTTGTGGTACAACTCTGCAACAAGATTTATGCCAATAGGGTAACATTTTTCATTTTGCACTTTGACTTTTCATAGCCCAGTTACGAAAGAGATCTTTCCCCCCCAAATTTTTCAGGGCATCTCTTTTTACAGAAAACTCCTTTATCTTTAGAAAGTCCTAATGTTTCTCTTGGGTACTTAGCACTTCAAATGTCAATTTTTCTCCTGTTTTATGGTCATTGGCCTGAGTCATATTTTAATTGAGCCATGATTCTATGATTCCAGCAGTTTTCCAACATTGTTGTCATAGAGTCTGTGAACTCTTTCCTCTTTAAAGATCTGAAAGTTCTCCCTGAAATTAACTCACTTCGCCTGCTCATTGTTGGTTAGATGATGATCAGACAGGGAGCAGCTTACAGATGTTAAATGGCAGGTATGTTTTAGGTGGGAAAAACGATGTTTCTTTTGGTTTCTTTGTTTGTTTTTTAATTTTCTTTTTTTTTTTTTTCCCTTTCTTTCTTTTTTGTGGTACTGGTATTCGAACTTCACACTTCCTAAGGCAGGTGCTGTACCACTTGAGCTCCTCTTTCAGCCCTGTTTTTGTGTTGGGTTTTTTTTGAGATGGGGGTTTTGAATTATTTTTCCTAGCTGGCTTTCAACTATGATCGTCCTGATTTCTGCCTTCGGAGCAGCTAGGATTACAATTGTGAACCAACAAAGCCTGGCTGGTTTCTTTTTCTTTTTGAGACAGTTGCATTGTGTAGTTCAGGCTGGTCTCACATTTGTGATCCTCCTGCCTCAGCCTTCTGGGATTACAGAGTGAATGTGTTTCTTAGTACTGTAACTATAAAAATTGTCTGGTTTTTGGCCATGCTGTGGTTGGATCCCAGGACTTCACACATAGGTAAATACTCCACTGTTGAGCCTCTTACTCCCCACCACCTAAAATAACCTTTATAGCAACAATATATGGGAAGTTGAGGATACACCTGAATTTTATTTTCCAGTGTAAGTAAAGTTGTACAACTTGCAAAACAGTGACTTGGTTAGGATTTTACTATTGGTAAGTGTAACGTTCAGTGTATTGACTTTGTTTTTGTGGTGCTGGCATTGAACCCAGTATACAGATGGTTCTAAATGGTCACTTCTTAGGGGAGAAAAAGAGAATTATTGTATAGGTTTTAATTATCTGTAATTTTTATTTTTTTGAGGGGATTCGTTTAGGTGTTTTTTTTTTTTTTACCGGTCTTGCTGTGTAGCCTGGGCTGGCCTAGAACTCTGAATCTTCTTTTTGCCTTGTCCTCCCAAGTGCTGGGTTTATAGTCTCTATGTGATGAGGCCTGATTGGTTTGTTTTTCTTTCTTTCTGGTGGTAATAGGTTTTGAACTAGGGCCTTCTGCTTGCGAAGCAAGCCATGCCTCCAGGACCTTTATTAATTCTTAAATTTTCCAGGTTGTAGATTTGTTAGATATAGTCAGTTTGAAAGTTACTAAATAGAATGAGTAGATACTGTTTGAATTGTTTAGATCTTTGTAGCCCCTGGGGGAGACTAAAAACACTTACCTTTAGATAAAAGTTTATGGTTTAATATCTTTCTTCTGGCATCTTTTTTTGTGGGACTGAGGTTTGAACACTGGGTTTTACATTTGGAAAGCAGGTGCTCTACCACTTGAGCCATACCTCCTCCTTAAATGCTAGGATAATGGGACAGGAACTTCTTATAAGCTAGCTTACAAATGAAATTCTTCTTTTTTGGGGCGGGGCGATACTGGGGCTTGAGTTGAGCTTCGTACTTGCTAGGCAGTGCTCTGCCGCTTGAGCCAAGTCTCCATCCATGAAGGAACCTTTTTTTTTGGAGTGGAAGTGATAATAAAGTTTATTAGGAAAGGAATACACTTTTCAATCGACTGAAAGCAGGTCATTTTTACAGAGAATGAGAATGAGCTGAAGTTCTCAGAGGGAACTGAGTGGCAAGCCAACAAGGTTTGGGGGTTAGCCTGTTGCTCACCATAGCAGTTCTCTGCATGTGTACCTCTGCACATCACTACTATGTGCAGGTGTGGTGGAGCTTGTCTGGGCCCTGTTTGTGAACATAGCACCTCTTCTCTTCTTGGAAAAAGCGCTCAGGGCCACTTCTCTATATGATGGTCTTCAGGTCTGTTTTTTTGGATTTAGCTTTAGGCATTGCTGCCTGGCCAGTTTTGTTCAGAATTGCTGTCCTTTAGATGCTGCATATCCCTCTGCCCCGTCCCCATTTCCAGCCTTCCTGGAACTCTCCCTCAGCCTCTGTTACCCCAGATCTTCTAGACCTGCTTTGGACTGTTCTGCCATCTTACCCTCGGGGCCCCGAGCTTGCCTGGGCCTCATAAACCTACCTTGTTTATGAGTCCGGGCTCACCTAGTGCAGTTGTTGTGTTCACACTGTCATTTTCTGGATCAGCATTTCTGTTCTTTGCATTCTTGCCCTTTAGCTTGGAAACTACACTGATGCAGTTCTGTGTCCTAGATGGCTTCTCTTTATATGCTTTGTATATTATATGTACTAACATCCTAATGCATCCAGTAGGGCTCCTTGTTTTCCTGGGGGAAAAAAAGTAGAGTGCTAATAGAATCCAGGTAAGTTGAACAAGTAGTGTGCATAAATCCTGCATGTTCAGTGAAGTGCTTGTTGACTGGTAGATAACCACAACTAAGAAAAGTGAGACTCCTGGCTGACTTTGAAAAAACATATTATGTGTAATTCAAATTAATTAACCTTGATACTAAGGTTAGCATTAATCTTTTTATTTTCAGGAACATTCTGGTGTTTCCAATACCAATATTGACGCTTGCTGGTCAACAATTTTCTATTAAAGTTTCGAAAAGTGTTATGTCTGCTGATTAACATTTGCTCACATTTGACTCCCAATAGATCCTAAATTTTTTTTTGGTTGAAACAACAAAGTTACAGAAATGAGAAAAGAATTCCTAGACATGTTGCAGGCTTACCAGCTGTTTGCATTCACACCCTTGCTATACCATTCTGTGTGTGTGTGTGTGTCTATAAGTGTAATCTGTATTTATTTCTTAATCACTGTGGAGAAGGCAATTTGGACGAGTACCAAGTGTGAGTTATCTTTTCAAATGGTAGCCCCCAGAAACTAAACAAAAGTCTTTGTTAAAGAAAGCTTTGAAGTGTGAGTTGTAGCTTTGTTTGAAATAAACTACTAGGTAAGTGTTGGGTCAAGGTAGTACTTGATTGTAAGGTTTTGTTCCTAATGGCACGGTATGCGACAGGCATTAACCCATTTTCCCCTCTCTCATGGAGCAAATAAATTGTGTAAGGATTTTTTATAGCACATATTTCTATTTGTTTCTAGAAGACCCATTTGAAGACTTTTTTGGGAACCGAAGGGGTCCTCGAGGAAGCAGAAACCGAGGTGCAGGCTCATTTTTCTCTGCCTTCAGTGGATTTCCTTCTTTTGGAGGTGGATTTCCGTCCTTTGACACAGGTATTAAATAAATCCTTAGATTTGCTCTCTGTTGTACAAATAAAGTGTTGCTATGACAGAACTCTTTCAGTTAAGTAGTGTGAAATACATGTACTCTGTTAGAGGAGCTTTGTAGACCTGCTAGCTTTTTTTTTTTCCACGTACAGTTCGGTTCTTAATGATTTACTATTCCCTCACTTTAACAATTGGAAACCTACTTCTAATTTTACAACATTTAAAGTTTTTTTTTTTTTTTTCTCTCTTTTTCAGTGGGACTGGGGTTTATACTTAGGGCTTCTTGCTTGCAAAGCAGGCACGCTACCACTTGAGCCACATCTCCAGCAATCTTGAGCAACAACCTGGTGGTTTTTTTTTTTGTTTTGTTTTTTTAGCTAGTAAGTGAAATTTTTTTTTCTCTTATTCATATGTGCATATAGTGTTTGGGTCATTTCTCCCCGCCCCCTCCCTTCTCCCCCACCCTCCTCGCTACCAGGCAGAAACTGTCTTGCCCTTATCTCTAATTTTGTTGAAGAGAGAATACGAGCAATAATAGGAAGGACAAAGGGTTTTTGCTAGTTGAGATAAGGATAGCTATACAGGGAGTTGAGAGATAGGTCTCTGGAACTATTTCCTTGGACCGGCCTTGAACCGAGATTCTCAGGGTCTTGGTCTCATAAGTAGCTGGGATTGCAGGTGTGAGCCACAGGCGCCCTGCCTAATGAAATTCTTAATAAGTACAAATGAAGGATTGGGGATATGGCTCAAGTGGCAGAGTAACTGCCTAGCAAGCACAAGCTCTGAGTCCCAACCCTGATACCATCAATATAAAAACCACCGTCTTTTCATACAGTTTTAACCCACCTGGTCATTCTCACTGAATCAGTCCTTCATGTCATCTCGGCTCCTTTGCAGTTAATCAAGAGAACATACACAGGTAGTCCAGCTGTATGGAAATGGAAAGTTGGCACATAGCCTGGGTGTGTCACGAGCTCAGCTTTGACCAGTTTAATGTGAATTGAGAAGTTTTTCATAGTTAATTAATAGGCAGTTTGCAAGCCACAGTCGTGTAGCACACATGTTGAGCTATGATTTTTGCCTGGAGAAGTAGTCCATGTGTATCCCATTCCTGAAGCTCACCCAGCTCTGGAGTTCAAACTTGTTTTAAGCCTTGGTGTTACAGTTGGGGTGCTTGTCCAGCTCAGAATTTACTTCCCTTAAGTATTATGCCAGTAACATCTAGGTTGTGAATAGTCTGTCTACTTGGTTGTACTTTGGTTTTGTTGTGCTTTCCCCAGATTTTGTGTTGTCTGCCACTGAGCACTGAGATGTGTCCAGTCCAAATGGAAAAGGGTTACTCTCTAATACAAAGTATACACTGGATTTCAAAGTCTGGAATATGAAAAACAAATTCTCTCAGACAGTCTTTTGGGTATGGTAGATTAAAACATTAGGAATAATTTCACTCTTTGTCTAATTTTTAGTAAGGGCACCAGAAAGTGTAAAATCACATGTGACTCACAATGCCTTTTCTTGGGGCATCATTAGTTCTAGACAGTAGTAGAGGTTTAATGCTCCAGTCATGTTTAGGGGTGTGTCTTGTTTAACATGAACATTTTGAAGATAGAGCAAAGTACGTAAGCTCTCGAACAAGCAAAAACAATCACCCTATCGGAGACTGGCTTGCTTTAATCCACAGTGTAATAGCTATGTAATTGAGGGTTCTGCGTGAGTTGTAGGCTTGTGATTTTTTTTATATATAATTAATTGCAGTATTCTTTCTGAAATTATTTTAGCTTTTTAAGAGCTCAGGTTTTTGTCTCTTACCCATTGCTAGAGCCAGTTAGGTTCGTGTTTCTGTGGTGGTGGAATTGCTCTTTGTAACAAAGATGCTCCCCCAGAGCGGGGGTGGGGGGGTGGATCATCATTGTTTGGTATGTCGGAAGTATCAGTGGAGTCAGCTAAGCATTCCTAGGCACTGGGAGAAAGCAGCTGGTTACTGCCCTGTGTTTCCCTGAAGCACACGCTGAGTTTAGAGTTGGCTGTCCTCTCCTTTGGGTCCCTCAGCAGTTCTTTGAGGTGGTGGTCTTGTGTGGCTTGTTAATATCAGATGGTTTACTAATAGATTTTTGAGCTTAGTAAATTTTGATTATACTGGATCCGTTAGCCTCTAATCATGCATCTTTTGTTTTCCTCTAGGATTTACTTCATTTGGGTCACTGGGTCAAGGGGGCCTCACTTCATTCTCTTCAACGTCATTTGGTGGCAGTGGGATGGGCAACTTCAAATCTGTATCAACCTCCACTAAAATAGTTAACGGCAGGAAAATCACTACCAAGAGGTACAGTGGTATTTTCATTTTTAGTAAGTTGGGATAATGTTTCATTGGTGCCATGTTTTCTTTTTACATCATCTGCCCTCTCCCCCAGCGAAAAATAAATTGCATGCTCATCTCTAAATTAATTAGCTAGGAACTTGCTTTTTAATATTTACCAGTACTAGTAAGTTAACAGGTAAATCTAATTCAAGCCATATTTAATATGCAATGATGGGTAGTACATTTCCCCAGCATTGTTAGAATAGTAAACATGGAGAACTATTAATAGTAAAATCTTTACCTCCATATCCCCCACCCCCCGCCACCCCCCACGTGGAGCCCAGGACCTCTGGCATCCTAAGTAAACACTGTACCACTGATCTATACCCCCACGCCTAAAGGTTTTTCAATGAATTCTATGTTCACAGAATTGTGGAGAATGGTCAAGAAAGAGTTGAAGTTGAAGAAGACGGCCAGCTAAAGTCCTTAACGATAAATGGTAAGGAGCAGCTGCTACGCTTGGATAACAAGTAATTCAACGCACGCATTTAACAGAAATGTTAAACAGTAACAAGCACCATTTGAGGATTAACAGGAACTTTTTTTTTTTTGAAGATTTCAGACGAACTCGACTTTCAGTATACTGTACCTAATCTAAAGTATTTATAAACAGCTCATCGGAGCCCCTGTTTGTCATAGACTTTGAGTTATTGTTGGGACCACACAATAGGACCATTTTTGTCTTTAAAATTGTTGTAATCTCTGTATGCACTTTGCTTTTTTTTTTTTTTTTTTTTTTTAAATTAAACATCCAAGGTGAGCCCCGTGACTCTTGAGTAGAGGTGTAGGACAAGATTGTACTCTAACACCAGCATGGATCTGCTTTCCATTGTGTTTGAAATGTGAGCCGAGTAGTGTCAGCCTGCTGTGAAGTTAACATTGCCAGGATGAATCTTCTGCAGAAATTTCAGTTTTTTTCAGTGTTTAGTAATGAAAGACATTAATGCATTAATGGTAATACATTTCTGGTTTAATATAAATTAAGGATGTTTTCTAGTCCTGCATGAATGCTGGCAACTTAGTAAGTTTTGACAATTGTTTAAATATGTAATGTTAAGCTTAGGTTTAAAAGTTGGTAAACTGGGTCTTTTGTCATTTGCTTTAAAAAAAAAAAAAAAGAAAAAAAAAAGAAAATAAATCTGAATGTGTTTGGTGCATTCTTTCCTGAGTGGGTTCTGCAGCCTTCTTGTGTCTGTGTGTGATTTTGTGCCTGGGCTTCTAGTTTCGCCTCATTAGCATTCCTTTCTGTCATCGAGATGGATGCTGAGTGGAAGTTATGTGCAGACCCATTCTGTAGTATTTTGAGACATGAAGACTCCTGTTCATAAATAATGAGTTTGTATATTGACATGTTAGTTCAGTACATCTCTGTGTGTGTGTGTGTGTGTGTGTGTGTGTGTGTGTGAGAGAGAGAGAGAGAGAGGAGAGTGAGAGAGAGTGAGAGAGTGAGTGAGTGAGTGAGTGTGTGAATGGGAGACAGAATGAAAGAACTGCTAGCCTAGGTGGGAAGCCCCTGGAAATTTCTCATGGTATTTTAAGAAACCTGATTTATTATTGCTGAGAAAACGTGTAGCAGCTTTAAAAAGAAAACAGCATGGCACACGTTAACTGAAGCAGTTGAAGACAGTTGGAGTGAAGACAACAGTGAACAGGAAGTGCTTAAATGTTTGTGTGAGGAGGGACCTTGCAGTCTCTTACCTTTTGATGAGGTAGGTATGCAGCCCAGCCCCACAGTGGAAGTCAGTGGATACCTTTTGTTGCACAACTAGGAGTTTAGCATCACAAAGCCTACTTTTGTTTATGCTACTAGTACTGATGGCTTTGTTACTGAACAAGAAATTCAAATGCCTGGAACCTTTTGGATTTAAGTTTTTCATTAACTTGTGGGTTGAGCCATTTGATAGAGGAGTCTTCTATGTCATTTAGGGAGACCCTGGATGAAGAGGAGCCTGTCTCATGAATGTTGAACAAGAACAAGCTTTTGCCACAGCTTTGTTTCCACACATTGCTCCAGTTTGCAACTGTACTGGGTAGTGTCTCACTGTCTGTCTTGAGGCTTTTAAAAGAGGGGAGCATTGCATTTGAGAAAGTTAGCTGTATCCTGCTCTTTGTTCCAGCGAGTGTGAGTGTTGATCCTTTAGACCAGGCAACTTATTTATTAAAATCTAGTTAATTGAATTTGAACACATCCAGTTCATTCCCAAAGAGCAGCAGCCTTGGAAGCGATGGGCATTGTTTTTGTCACTCAGAGTGCTGACCCAGACCAACAGCATTTCACTTATGGAACTACAGGTTTCTGTGGATTCTTTTGTAGTGTAGTACTCAATGCTTTTGAAAACAGGGCTAATAGCTGCTTGCTTGGGAGTGTTTAGTTTTGCCCAGGTCCACACAAAGAATGGGCCCAACCCCCGCCTTGTATGGAGTTGCGTTGGTTTGTGCGCAGGGTACTCTTGTCCGTCTGGTCTCTGCCCTATTTTGCTCTTTCCTGTGCTTCTTCCTTCTAGAGCATTTGGTTCAGCCTCAGTGATGGGTTATTCCTCATGGTTCTTTACAAAATGTAAGTTTAAGATTGTAAAGGTGTCAGGTTTGATTTTTGGAGGCTCTGTCAGTGCAGTTGAGTGTGAAAGATAAACAGTGGTATCAACTATGGCATGTCTGTGCCTGTGATGAGGTCATCCATGAACATGCTCAGCTACGAGGCCAGTGGAAGTCCTTTCTGGAAGCTCTCAATATAAAATGTTATGCGTGGTCAAGCCAAGTCCCTTTTCTGTTTCCTTTGAAGGACTTTTAAAGGGGGATGGCACCTGTGCATCTGGATTCCACAGTGATTATGATGGAAATCCTCTTTCATGTCCTCACATGCAATTTGCTTAAATTACTAAATTCTTACTCCTAAAATCCATTTAATTAAGCCACTTTTGTTTTGGACACTCCACTGTGTGTGGAGCTAGCTGCTCCACTTTGGAAAGCAAATCTCATTCTGAGTAGCTCATTTAGGGTCTGATGGGCAACTTTTTTGTTTGTGGGACAGAACACAGGGTGTCACACATGCTAGGCGGTGTTCTACCACTGAGCTACAACTTAGTCTTTTTTTCCTCACTTTCAGCAATGACTTGATTCTTCTTGCTGGTTCTTTAGCCATCTTTGTGCCTGTCCTTGCTATTCTAGGGATTTGAGATGTAGACCTTGGTGCTAATGTGTGCCACCTGCCACCCCCACTTCCCCGGCTGGTTTAGAAAAGGTGAAAAGAGTGAACATTGCAGCAGCCTTTACTGTGTCAAATTACTGAGCCAGTGGTGATTCAAGAGAGAAGCAGCTGGCATTTTAGAGTCTTATCAGAAAAAGAAGTCTACTTGAGCTTGAAAAGATCTGTCACTACTTGCTTGCTTTTGTCAGGATTTGCTTTCCTGCCCTTACCAAACTATGTATTAAAGGAGCCAAATAACTTTTTGCAGTGCTAGGGGTTGAACCCAGTACTTCTACATCAATTTATTTGGAATGTTTGCATGCTGAAAACATCTGTCTTCCTCCTGAACTTGGTGCTAGCATATTCACTAAGTTATTGTTGTATCTACCATTTGATTTTGTACTCTTTGTTCCTTAAGGCTTACTTCTGTGCAAAGATCACTAACATCAAATGGTCACCTCCAGGGACAGATTTCTTTCAACCTTTCGAGGCTGCCCTTTTCTTTAAATAAGATGGGGTCTCACGATGTTGCTTAGACTGGTCTTGAACTTGTGATGTCAAGTGAACCTCACTTCTCAAGCTGCCACTCTGGCTCAGTAATCTTTGCTTCTTTCCTCCCTCTCTCCATCTTTCTTACTGCTAGGGCATCCTGCATGCTAGGCAAGTGCTCTACCACTGAGCTGAACCCCCAGCTCCAAGGCTGCTTTTACACTATCCTTTCAGGTGCAATATAGTCCACTCAAAGGTGCTCCCGTACTTGCTCTAAATTAGTAGATTAGCTTGGGGACCTTCAGGGCAATATGGCCAACTTAATTAGCAGAGTGCTAGGGATTGTAACCGGGCCTTGTGCATACTAGGTAGGAGCTCTGTCACTTAGATACAGCATCAGCCATTCTTGATTAAAAAAAAAACCAAAAACTTATTTTACATATAGCTGTGAAATTAATGCTCTATTCATATAGTAACCAGGACAGAAGTCTTTGCTACCTTTGACCTAGTTACTTTTTTTGTACCTTGTGTTACTCTGATTTTATTTTGGAATACTGTGTTTTTTAGAAATAGAAAATACTGCAAAATTTCTCACATTAGATTAGTTTTTCTTACCTAATCACGAATATTTATGTTTTTGTCTGTTCCTAGTAGGTTGCGTTTAGTATTTCACCATGTGATTATGCTCTTGATTATGTAGGCCTAAAACTCCTGTTTTCCAGTTCCTCAGAAATACCTGCTGAACTGAGCACTGGTGGCTCAAGCCTGTAATCCTAGCGTCTCTAGAGGTAAAGTTGGAAAGGATTGGACATTGCAGTTGGAGTCCCAGCCCGCTCAAACAGCAAGACCACCATGTCAACCAATAGCTGGGTGCAGTGGTGTGCACTGGTTTATATTTCTATTGAAAGTGTCCAGTGTATCAAGACTTGCGAGGTCTGGGTCAGTCTGGTTGACATTTTGGGTGGTACTATGGTTTGAACTCAGGGCTTTGCATTCACAAAGCAGGCACTAATGCTTGAACCACAACTCCAGCCCTTTTTGCTCTGGTTGTTTTGGAGATGGCCTGCTTTTTGCCCAGGCTGGTCTAGACCATGATCCTATTTTAAGCTTCCTGTCACTGGATGCCAACCCATTTTTTCCTGTTGAGATGGTGTCTTAGAAACTTTTCTTTTGCCTGGGCTGTCCTGGAACTGCAAACCTTCCCATCTCAGCTTCCCTTGTACCCAGGATAACAAGTGTTATCCACCATGCCAAATATTGGTTGAGTTAGGGGGTCTCAAACTTTTCCCAAGTAGTGAGGATTACAGGCATGAGCCCCTGGCACCCTAGCTTGGGTTTCTTTAATCTGGGTTTTTATAGTATTTACCTGCTTTATTATTTCTTTTTCAAACAATAGCTCTTAATGTTCTCAACACAACTTCATGAGTGACACAATTTTTATCTTTCTGTCTTACTCTCTTCTGTTTCTGCAGAATATTAGTAATTTCAGTCTTTTTGTTAATAAATGTAAGTGGTTAAAATTGATTTTAGTTTGGTTTACAAACCTTAATTTTTTATTTTTTAAATTTGTATTTCAAAGCTTTTTGGGGTGGGTGGGTACTGGGGTTTGCACTCAGCTTTTACTGCTTGAGCTGCACCTAGCCCTTGTCAACTCTGAATTTTTATTTTACTCTCTTCTCCCCACTGCCCAGCCAAGTTCTGCCCATCATTCTGTAAAAATGTTTAAAATATTGATCCATCTAGAAATTGTGGGTTTTCTTTTT